TGGGTAGCAACCAAACACCCGTTTGGGAGCGAGCTAAAGTGAGAAGGCGTAAAACTTCGCGTGCGCTGGGTTTGGGTCCCGCCACGTTAAAGCCCCGCCCAATGAAAAAAAAACAACAGCCTCGGATGAGACCCCCTTTTTCTGATAACGACCACGGCAAACGTATAAAGGACTATGATTTAAGAGTATGCAGCTGGAATATCCGGACCCTTAATGGGGAAGGTGCCTCTGCCCGGCTGGTTGATGTCCTCGGGAAGACAAAGGCTGACATCACCGCCATCCAAGAAATGCGATGGACGGGGCAAGGAAAAGTAAGCGTGAAGCCTTGCGACGTCTACTACAGTTGCCACGTAAAGGAGCGCAAATTCGGTGTTGGATTCGTGGTAGGAGAGAGACTCCGTCGCCGAGTACTGGCGTTCACCCCGGTGGACGAACGTCTAGCCACAATCCGCATCAAAGCTAGATTCTTCAACATCTCGCTCATCTGCGCCCATGCGCCGACGGGAGAGAAGGATGAGGCGTCCAAGAATCTCTTCTATGAGCGCTTGGAACGTACATATGAGCGCTGCCCCCGACACGATGTCAAAATCGTGCTTGGCGATTTTAATGCCAAGGTGGGCAAGGAAGGGATCTTTGGCGCCACAGTCGCAAAATTCAGCCTCCACGACGAAACGTCCGATAACGGACTGAGGCTGATCGACTTCGCCGGGGCCCGAAATACGGTAATATGTAGTACCAGGTTCCAGCATAAGAACATGCACCAAGCTACATGGCTGTCTCCAGATCGAAAAACGAGAAACCAAATCGATCATGTTGTGATAGACGCAAGGCATGCTTCACGCGTTTTGGACGTACGTACACTCCGAGCGCCAAACATCGACTCGGACCTCTATCTTGTTGTAGCCAAGATACGCACCCGCCTCTGTGCAGCAAAAAATGTGCACCCAACAATGCAAGGAAAGCTTAACGTCGAAAAGCTGCAATCACAACAGACGGGAAATTTATTCGTCACTCGACTCACACACTCTCTCTGAGAGCAGTCTTCAACAATCCGACATACGCGAGCAGTGGAACCACATTTCCCAATCATTAAGTACCGCCGCCGAAGAAGTAGTTGGATTTCAGCGAGCCCGAAAGAACAACTGGTACGATGAGGAATGTCAAGAAGCCGCAGAGAAAAAAGATGCCGCCTACATGGCCACGCTGCGATCGGGCGCAACGCGAGGCATGTGGGACCGTTATAGGGAACTGAAGAAGGAAGCGAGACGTATTTGCCGCAATAAGAAGAGAGAGGCCGAAATACGTGAGTGCGAAGAGCTTGAGATGCTGGCCGACAGGAAGAACGCCCGAAAATTCTACCAGAGGGTTAGGTGACTTACGGAAGGTTTCAAGACCGGGGCGAACTCCTGTAAGAACAACAATGGCGACCTAGTGACCGATTTCCAGAATATACTTAAATTGTGGAGGGAACACTTTTATAACCTACTGAATGGTAGCAGCGCTGAAAGTAGTGAAGAAGACGAACCCGAGTTCCCAGTCGATGATGATGGAGTAGCTGTCCCACCGCCTGACTATGACGAGCTACGAATAGCGATTACGCGGCTGAAAAACAACAAAGCTGCTGGAGCTGACGGCCTGCCAGCCGAGCTATACAAGTAAGGCGGCGAGGAGCTGATCAGGTGCATGCATCAGCTCGTATGCAGAATATGGTCAGATGAAAGCATGCCCGACGACTGGAATTTAAGTGTGCTCTGCCCAAGCCACAAGAAAGGCAACCCCGCCATACGCGCCAACTACCGCGGAATCAGCCTTCTAAGCATAGGTTACAAGATTTTATCGAGCGTATTGTGCGAAAGACTGAAGCCCACCGTCAACGAGCGGATTGGACCTTATCAGTGTGGCTTTAGGCCTGGAAAATCCACCATAGATCAGGTATTCACAATACGCCAAATCTTGGAAAAGACCCGCGAGAATAGGATCGACACACACCATCTATTTGTCGATTTCAAAGCCGCTTTCGACAGCACGAAGAGAAGTTGCCTTTATGCCGCGATGTCTGAATTTGGTATCCCCGCGAAACTAATACGGCTGTGTAAAATGACGTTGAGCAATACCACCAGCTCCGTCAGAATAGGGAAGGACCTCTCCGAGCCGTTTGATACCAAACGAGGTTTCAGACAAGGGGACTCCCTTTCATGTGATTTCTTTAATCTGATGTTGGAGAAGATAATAAGAGCCGCAGAACTGAACCGCTCAGGCACAATACTTTATAAGAGCGTACAATTGCTGGCGTATGCCGACGACATCGATATTATCGGTAAAAACAAGGGCTACGTCTGTTCTGCCTTCTCGGGATTGGATAGAGAAGCAAAGCGAATGGGTCTGGTGGTGAACGAGGACAAAACGAAGTATCTCCTGTCATCAGACAAACAGTCAGAGCACACGCGTCTTGGCACCCACGTCACTGTTGATAGTTACAAGTTTGAAAAAGTAGACAACTTCGTTTATTTGGGAACAAGCATTAACAGCAATAATAATGTCAGCCTTGAAATCCAACGGAGAATCACTCTTGCCAACAAGTGCTACTTTGGGCTGAGTAGGCAATTGAGAAGTAAAGTCCTCTCTCGTCGTACAAAGATCACACTCTATAAGTCACTCATCATGCCTGTGCTGGTGTATGGCGCGGAAGCATGGACAATGAAAGCATCTGATGAGGCGGCACTTGGAGTTTTCGAGAGAAAGATTCTGCGAAAGATTTACGGACCTTTACGCGTTGGTGATGGCGAATATCGCAGACGATTTAACGATGAGCTGTATGAGCTTTACAACGATATAGACATAGTGCAGCGAATTAAAATTCAGCGGCTCCGCTGGCTTGGCCATGTCGTTCGAATGAACAGAAACGCCCCTGCTCTTAAAATATTCAACGCGGGCCGCGATGGTGGTAACAAGGGAAGAGGAAGGCCTCCTCTGCGTTGGAAAGACCAGTAGTGCGATTCGGTAACCTTTTTAACGACATTCGCAGTGGCTAATTTAGCTAAACGATAATTTTAAAGATTTTGCTATTCAATAAGTAC